TTGTTCAGAAGTGTGACTTTTCCTGGCATGCTTGAGAATCAGTGACATGATTTTATAGAAACACTTTGTTAACTGACACCAAAGCTAGAAGCTCCTGTAAAGGCCAGGGTAGGTAACGTGTTATGCTTTGTGGGTCACAGAAGTCTCTGTATATATTTCTTTTGTGAAAACTTCAAAGTGTAAAAATCACTTCTGGTTCCCTGGCCAAGGCTCGGTCGGGGATCATGGTTTGCAGACCCTTGACAGCACCTTAGCTGAAAGCTGGTCTCCCATGCGGTGAGCAGGAGCCCACCTCATTGCTTCAGCCAGGAAGATGCTGCCCTCATGCTGGAATTTACTTCAAACAAACTTGAAAGCTCTGGCACCGCTGCTCATTTCCATACTGTTGCAGGCTATCTAAAATACAGAGGATGCCTTGGCGTTTTGATTTCGTTACTCCTCTTGAACGGCTCTGAGATGGCTCATCACGAGTTAGACACTTCCAGAAATGATCAAGCAGAGCTGCAGTCATGTTGCAGATCAAGTGAAGTTTTTTCTGAAAGCTTGTTACAGGCTTAAATTTCTGATCTATTTCCATCCACTGATCTTGTATGATTGGCTTCTTTTTGCACCCATTTGGGTCTGTGAAGCGTCTCCCCCCCGTGGTAGAACTTTAGCTCTGATTTCATGCATGAGTCGGTATCCTCACTCCTCTTCTGTGAGGAGAAAGCGCTGCAGGTCCTGCGTGGTTTCCGTCCCCTCCCTGCACGCGGATGGATTGGGAGGTATTTGTGATGTGTGAACTTGCTACCTCCAGAGGTTCCTTGCTCACTCCCCTGGACCGTACTCCTCCCTACTCCCATGGACTGCACTCCTCCCTCGTGGTTCATTCCCCGGACCGCATTCCTCCCTCCTCCTTCCTGGCTCACTCCCCTGGACCACACACCTCCTTCCTGGTTCACTCCCTGGACCACACTCCTCCCCCCCCCCCCCCCCCCCCCCTCCCTCCTGGTTCACTCCCTGGACCACACTCCTCCCTCCTGGTTCACTCCTTGGACCACACTCCTCCCTCCTGGTTCACTCCCTGGGCCAAACTCCACCCTCCTCCCCCCTGTTTCACTCTCCAGTGTGCCCACTCCTCCCTCCTGGTTCACTGCTCTAGGCCCCCACGCCTCCCTCCTGGTTCTCTGCCCTGGGCTCCCACGCCTCCCTCCTTGTTCACTCCCCTGAGCCCCCATGCCTCCCTCATAGTTCACTCCCCAGGTCCCCCACTCCTCCCTACTCTCCTGGGCCGCATTCCTCCCTCCTGGTTCACTCCCCTGGGTCCCCACTCCTCCCTCTTGGGGGCGTGGTAGTTTCTGCTGTGCTTGTGCCAGTACGACAAGGCTGAGTGGCATCTCCAGGGCTATGGCTTCTCACGCAGCTGTGGCGTTAGTGCAGAGAACTGCGGGGATGCAGCTGCCCTTGCTGTGATGCTTCGAGTGTCACAGTCGGTATGGGAAACTGGGTGGGATGTGGATGTCCCAGGAAGGGACAGGAGGCTCCCCTCAGCCTCCGTCAAACACTTCTCAGCCAGGCGTGGTGGGTCACGCCTGTAATCCCAGCGCTTTGGGAGGCCGGGGCGGGCGGATCACCTGAGGTCGGGAGTTGGAGACCAGCTTGGCCAATGTGGTAATTTTTGACGCATTAAGGATTAAGGAAAATGACTCATACTAGTTTGCCTTGCTTTTTAATTGATGATTGGTGTAGCCCAGTAGTGTGAACTTGTTAAGCAACCATTCTTATCGAAAGACTAATCTTTAAAAGTGTCTTCCTCTGGACATGTCTTTGGCTGCTGTAATCAAATGCAATGTAATCAGCACTGGTTAATGGTTTTCCTTGCTTGGCTAACAAATGCTCCTCAGAAACTTTGGTTTCTTGTTATTTTCATTTATAAGTATTAAGCCTTCTAATTTTTCTAGCTTTCTTGTGAGTTGGGAATAACTGTGATGGGTGCTTAGTTTGGGATGTTGACGTACACTCTATGCCCAGCTACTATGCCATTGTGTGAACACTGACTTGTCACTTTCTCATGAAGACTGATTTCACCTAGTTTGGTAAATTCTATTAATTTTAAGGAAGGGGGTGGAATGCAACTGCTGTTACGAGGCTTTTTCAAGGATTGAAGAAATGTTGCCATGATTATTACCATTACAGAAGGAACATAAAAACACGTGCTGCCTTCAGTCATGATGAATATGTAAGTCAGCATCTGTGACTGCAGAAAACGGCAGCCCTAAATCTTAAAATCATGTGGCTGCACCAAGCCCATGTGCAGGGCACTGTGGAGCAGCCTGCATTAGCCGAAGTTGGCCCACAAGCCCTGAGGGATGGTGTCTGAGTTATGATAAGGCTCTGACTTGGGATTAAACAGACCTCCAAATACTGTGATATTCTAAACAAAGACGCGATACTGCCCAGGGAGCCCAGTGGGCACCTGTAGGCAGTGTAGGTGAGAAAAGGCTCCAAGGAAGATTCCTGCAGCTCAGCTAGGAGGATTCTGTAAGGCAGTAGACACATCAATGTTCACATAGGAGTGTTGAGAGCTATATTCATTCCTTTTAAGCAGCCAGGCTTGTGTGTGTTTTTAGGGGCACTCACATGGCGCCCCTTCCACCCTCACTGCTGGTTGTGCCTGTTTGATGTTCCGGATTTCTGTGTTAAGTGTGTCCACTCTCCAAATGTGTCTCTGTGTCTAGAATATTTTAGAGTAGACCATTTATTGTTTAAACGCTTGTTTTTAGTGAGGAAGAAATCTTTAAGGAATGCCAACTTAAATTACCACCATCCGTATGCATATGGAAAAGAATGAGAGTGAATGTACAGAATTGGAATTTTGTCTATTTTGTAGAGATTCTGTAATGTATCAGGTACAAGCCTCACTTCATGATTTAAATGCATGAAGCTGAAATTACAAAACTTGACAAAAACATGCCTTTGAAGAGTGAGATTTATCCTCCTTGAAATAGTGATTCATTCACTAACACGTCCACCTGCAACTTTGTCAAACACATTTGTTGCATTAGTTCTCAAGTGGGCTCAGTTTTCCAGACAGGCAGATTATTACTGTTTAAAGTTTGTCCCGATGATGTTGGTGAACAGGGAAAATGCTTTGACGTGGATCCTGTGTGTGTGTTACACATCAGACACGGCCTGCCCAACCCTCTGCCTGTAACTGGGAACCTTGACTGTCAGGATCATTGTAGAGAACCTTGAGGAAAGCAAAACAAGCCTCTGGAGTAGCAAAAGATGTAGCTGATTTCATGCAGTAAAACTTACACATTTTTCTTTAAAATGCATCCTTCGGAACCTCAGTTTGCTGATTATCTTAGAATCGCTGTAGTCTGCTGATAGCAGTCGTGGGAACAGGTGCATGGTCCGGCTGATGCAGGAGGGTCTCAGAGCGGAGCCACACTGCTGACACCGAAGCAGGGGCTGGAGCCATCACGTTCGTGACTCATGCAGATGGCCTTGTCTGACCTCCAGAAGAGGAAACGTCAGTATCCAAGGAGGAAAAAGTGTACTAATTTCATGAGTGTTTGCCTTTGCAATGGCTAATACCCTGAGTTTGTGGCACCTGCTGTCTCTGGAATGAGGAGTCTTCCCTTCCTGGCAGACAAGCTCTAGATAGGAACAGGAGCTCTGATTGCTGGATTGAAGAGGTTTCCTTCTTGGGGAGGTGGCCTTCGAGCCTGACTCGAAGGAAGCTGTGACTGGTGGGAAAGGGCGTTGGAGAGACAGTGTATTTACCAGGAGGGTCAGTGACTGAGAACCATCCTGTTCCGAGTGTTGCCATTCTGGTTCTAGAGTAAACTTGGGGAGAAGCAACAGCCAAAAGCCTCGAGGAATATTCTGTGATGTTGATCACGTTTGGTAGATTTGTTGCTGAGACTCTGAGATAAGAAGCCCTGGAGGTGCAGGTCTATCAGGCCATGCGACGTGGGACAGCTGCTGCTTCAGGGGTTGGAGTCCCCGTGCCAGAGGCTCAGTCCTGCAGAGACTTTTGCACAGTGGGCAACTGCTGCCTCCGGTTGATTGTGAGTCCCTCAGATGATACCCATGAAAGGTACCGTGTCAGTAAAGACCCAAACTCTGTGAAGCATTTGGAGATTTATTCTGAGCCAAATGAGTTACCATGGCCCTTGATACTGCCCTCAGGAGATCCTAAGAATGTATTCCCAAGGTGGTCAGAGCCCAGCCTGGTTTTATAGCTTTTAGGGAGACATGAGACAATCAATCAAATAAATGTAAGATGTACATGGGTTTGGTCTGAAAGGTGGGACAACTGGAAGCAGGGGTGTCCAGGTCATAGGTAGATTCGAAAATTCCTGATTGACAGTTGGTCGAGAGAGTTGTCAGATAAGGGGTTGTGGAGACCAAGGCTTTGTCATGTGCAGGGAATCCTCCAGGTAACTTCGGAGAGAATAGATTGTGAATGTTTCCCATCAGACTAAGAGTCTAAGTTCTGTCTAATTCCAGAAGGGAGGTGGGGTGATGGGGCAAGTCCGACCCCCCAGCGATCATGGCCTGGACTATTTTTTCAGTTTAGCTTTGGAATGCCCTTGTCAAAAGCAGGGGCTGTTCAGATGGCCAAAGGGGCTTCGAATTCTAATGTTTTTACAACCGGAAAGTGATTGTGTTTTTTCTGTGGATGACAGTCAGTGTGGTAATTAATATTTTATTAGCAGATTAATTTGGAAGTCAATGTGTTTTCAAGTATGTTAATTATTAAGTCATCAACAACAGAGAAGGGCTTACTTTGAAACCAGCCTGAGACTCAAGAGGCTCATCAAAGAAAACGATGGACTTGGGAGAACTGATTCACGTGTTTACTGCCCCAAGTTTCAGGCATTATGAGAAGTCTGTGCTGATACATTGTGACTTGAGAACTTAAATCTTGATGGACTCTTAAGAGTGAGGCTTTTTTTTTTCTTTTCTTTTTAAACGATCAATGTTTCTGTCTCCTGTGTTTTGTCTTCCAGGCGCTGAGCACTTTAGCTTTGTGTTCACGTGGCCTTGTTCTCCGAACCACCCGCTTTGCGGCTCCTCCGTCCTGCCCGCCTTCATCGCGTCTTCCTTGCCCTATGGGTTTTATCCCGAGGACCGTGCTCTGCTGTGTGGAATGGAGGATCAGTGGACACTGGCTTTACCGACTCATTTTCTGTGTAGCTCCCAGTTTCTCAAAATCATAATTGTCTTGGATTCCCTGTGAAACTGGGAGTCAGGCCTTGGGCACAGTGCTGGGTGGCCTTGGGCACAGTACTGGGGCAGGAGGGAGAGATAAGAACAAGAAGGACGGGTTTGTCAGGGGAACGAACCCCTTGCTGAATTCCTGTGTCTGTTTTAGGTTAAAGATGAATGGCCGGGTGGTGGATGTCTCACCTGCTGTGGCTGGACCTCGCTGTGCTGAACCCTGAGCAGGGGCCCCAGCAGCTGCCTCCTGCCAGGCCGGGGCCACAGGACTGGGCTTCTGCCTCTGGGAGGGCTCGTTCCAAGGTGCAAGGGTCTACAACACTGCTGTGTGACCTAAGGGGCATGGGGGAAGCTGGTCTGTGCTCCTTACCTGGGAGAAGCTGAGCTCACCTGGACCAGAGCCTCTGGGGAGGTAGGAAGGCAGAGGCCTGGAATTCCTTCTTTTCCCAGACAGCAAGAAAGCTCAGTGTTGCACCTGCTCTGAGATGCCCTCAGCAGCCATATATAGTTATTTTAACATGAGGGAAGGTGCCACTTAACCCGGCTCTGTGGGGAGCTTTGAGGAGTCCAGGCCCTGGGCCCCGGGCTTTTTAATATGTTCCTTCCTGAACAAAAAACAACAAAAGATCCCTGTGGCTGATGCCGACTGCGTGGGGTAGGACATGCCGAGCTTGCGTGGGGCTTGCCCCTGAGTTTTCTTGGTGCTCCTCCCAGCCCCCACGGACACCAGCCTTTGCAGGCCGAGGCTTGTCCTGTTTAGACCCTCGTTGGTGGGGTCTGTGGTCCTGGATCGAGGGCCCAAGCACTGCTTTCATTGTTATAAATGATTCACCGGAGATGCACGGTTGCCCCCAAACATCTCATGAGCATGAGATACAGCCAGTGTCGCCGCCCCAAGCTCATAATTCTAGTGGAAAGAGGAAATTTTAATTTTAATGTGCTCGTGTGACTCAGATGCAAATATTCAATTCCCGTTAAACTTTCAAGACCTTGAGAACCTCTGAGGTTCCTTGGAAGCCATTCCTTGGCCCCACGACTAACTCTCCTGTGGAAGGAGGCTGGGGTGGTCCACGGGGTCTGGGGTCCTGCTACGTTCTCCAGGATTCCTTAGGTTTCATCATTAGTCCCAGCTCTTCAGCAGGTGGAGCTGATTGACTCTGACATTTCCATTATTTTGTTCTTATGTTGCCTCAGTTAACTTAGAATAATGAGTATTTACCAGAAATAATTGATGGCGAGATGGGAATTATTGGTGATTCCTTGACATAGGCAGCCTGTATAGATGAGCGTGTTACACGGTGTCTGATTTCTGAGATGTTGGTCCAAACCTTCTCAGCGACACACTTTCAGGGGTACATTCCTGTGAAGGAGAAGCTGCTTTTCCCCGAGAAGCGGTGCCGGCCCCTGCACTGGCATGGTAGGGTGGCTGTGTGACTGGGCAGGGCTGGATGTGCTCCTTCCCACCCCTGCGCTGGGCGCCTGCCTCCGCCCCACATCTGTGTATGAGTTCGCACCCAGCTCGAACTCATAGAATTGTATAGCTTCCTTGACACATTCCTGCACAGAGATGATTAGATCTGGGGGCTGAATCTCAATCTGACATGCATGTAGGTAAATATTCATGTGAATGACTTGGGTCCTCCACGTTCAGGGTCAGGAGGCGCGAGGTGGGTTTGGAGACAGCTGCCTGGCCTCAGGAAGTTTCTCTCAGAGTGTGTTTCTTTCTCTAGCAAAGTAAATGATGCCTACCTCACGGGGCTTGACACACGCTCAGTACTCACATGCTGTCTGGTCTTTATTATAGTTGTTATTTGGGGAACAGCGTGGCTGGTAAGAAAATGTGTTATCTTTACAATTTATAGAATGTCATACAAGGCAAGCGTGAAACTAAGAATCTACCCTAATCTGAAGATGCTGGTGCTTACTCTTCTCCTTAAGCATTTTGTTGTCATTCTGGCGTGTGTCAGCCAAGTCATCTGACGGCACCATATGCGTGATGCCAGCTCGGTTACCTTGGAACGGGGAGCCTGAGGCTGCCAGGGAGCATCTCTCCTGCCTCCAGCCCTCGGCAGTTTGTCTCTCTCTATCCTTCCCTCTGTCCCTCCCTATCCCCCACTCCTCCTCACCACTCCTGCTCCCCTCCCTACCCCCCTCCCTACCCCCCTCACTTACTCTACAACAGAGGCCCAGACTTTGAAAAATCCCAGCTGGGCCTATTTATCGCTTGGCTGGGAAACCAGAGGGAAAGGGACCCAGTTACTACAAAAATAGAGAATTGAAATAGAATGTGAGCCACTTTTGCGTCTTGTTTTTTATTTTAGTCTGAATATAAAAGGCAAGTGTCAACACAAAATCGGTGCTAACTGAGCCACACAGCTCCAAGTCTGCCTTGTTGGGACTCCGTGGGTTCCCACGCCCTGGCCTTCTCCATGAGCGTCTGGACACGCCGTGGCTGCGAAAGGAGCATTCAGTTATGGTCCTTTGAATGTTCCAGAGTCATGTTTAATAAAAATCTTCACGTTTACCCACAGCCAAGTCTTGATTTAATAACAGGTACTACAGGTTTCTGGGTGGGTCTGAGCCTCTGTTTTAGAAGCAGCCGCACCATCCGAGGGGCAGGTCCGTGTGGGCTGGCAGGCGGCTTGGTCCTTGGAGCACAGGGTGGACCTGACCCAGTCCTGGCAATGTGGGGCCTTGCAGTTCTAGAATGTAGTGATGCAACCTGTGACATAAATAAAAAGCCTCATGTGCCCCTATGAGAAGCTAGGGCTTCCCCTCAGTACTGTGGTGTGCTGTGTTTGTGGTCCTGCAGGTGTAAAAGGGTGAAGGAGATACCTAAAACCAAGATTCCAAAGACAGCCCTTCATGTCTGGTGCTTTCATGTGTGTATGAACACCTTTTTGACGCGTGTACACCTTCATGCGTGCACCTGTTTCATGCATGTACACCTGTTCGCGTGTGCATGCACCTGTTTCATGCGTGCGCCTGTTTCGCGTGTGTATGTGCCTGGGCATTCATCCTGTATTGCGTCATACGTTGTATTTTACAGATTGGTTTTTTTCAGTTTGTATCGTGAGCTTGTAACGACTTTGTGAAGAAAAGAGGGGGCCCTGGCAGCCTTTGGCTCTGAGAAACATGATGTCACGGGAACAGATGAGACAGCCTGGGTGAGGCCGGCAGAGGCCATCGTGGCCTGGGAGTCCGTGCACATCCACTGTCTGTCGCTGTGTGACAAGTGACCCCCAAACCTAGGGGCTTAAGTCAACATTCACGTACGACTGTACAGCTTCTTGAGGTTGCAAATTAGGGCAGCCCTGCTGAGCGGCTCTGGCCCAGTCCCCCGGGTCACCGTGAAGATGCTGTCCAGGGCTGCAGCCATCTGTAGGCTCAGCTGGGCTGGAGGTTCTGCTCCAGGATGCTGTGCTGACGTGTCTGCGGGCAGAGGCCGGGTCGGGTCCTCCACACCTGGCCCCTCCCTGGGGCTGCCAAGTGCATTCCTGCCCAGGGCCGCTCCTTTCCCCAGAGACGTAGCAGTGCTGGTCTTATGCCCAGCGTCAAGGTGGCCGGCTCAGGAGCAAAGACTTGTTTCCCCTACTCAGCGGCCACTCCTGCAGGGCTGGGCGACAGTGGAGGTCACGCAGGAAGGTGTTCGCTGAAGACCGTGCTCTGTGACTTGGCGGGTGTTCCTCCCAGAGAGTGAAATGGAGACTGGACGCCGGGAGCAGCGTCCTGCGTGACCTCATGTGTAGTGGGCTCACAGCAGAGCTAAGTCCTTCCTTTACAGATACTTTTCAGAGTCTGCCCGCCTTTGGATTCTCTGATTAACATGTCTGAGGAGGGTCGCAGGAGTCTGCCACCTGCCAGGCCAAGGAGGTTCCCAGCATGTGGCTGTCCCCTCACACCCTGAGAAACGTGACTCGAGGGGATCACCCGAGTTTCCTAAATGAGTCACCTGCCTTCTCTTCTCTTTGCTTTCATGCCTCCCCCAGGGTGGGTCAGTCCTGTCAGCCACAGCGATACCTGCATGCTGGGGTTCCAAGGAGATTGGGGGTGTGTGTGGTCCCCCAGGGAGATTCGGTGACTGAGGATGCTGTCATAGCAGCCAACATGTCCTTATTGTTTTCACTTTTAATGAAGTTCAGTTACTAGGTTTTCTGAGGCACAATGACGTCCTTGTGAAAAATTGGTGATCAGGGAAGCAAGCAAGTGTGGGAAAATGATCCGGCCCTTAAACCTAAAAAACGATGAAACAGGAAAGAGCCCTGAAGAGCCCATGAACCTCCTCATCGGGCAGTGAGGAGACACCTCAGTAATGGCTTAGAATAAAAGAGATAATATTGAAGAAAAGGTAAACTAAATTTTGGGTCTCCTATGGGTAAAGAGATTGTGGTTTACATTTTGGAGGCATGCGTTTATATACTTATTTATTTTTCTTTGTTGGATTTAGAATTAGTTGAAATAATTGTGTTTTTTTAATTAAAAAAATTAGGCTATACGAAGTCTAATCCCATTGTGATATTTCTGTACTGTGAGACTCCACATACAAAAGTGAAGCCCAGACTGTCTATCTCTAATGAACCAGAGCGAAGTTGTCATCTCCTGCAGGTCGGTCTGGTCTCCAGGCATCTGGCCATCCTCCCAGTCTTGGGCACACCTGCATCACTGGTGCTTCCTGCCAGGCTGTGACTCTACCTAGGTTTCAGGAGCACCTGGAACAGTTTTCCTGGGGCCTCCTGCTTTGTCCTGGCTCCTGGAAGCACAGGCTATTGATGAAGGACTCTCCCCACTGCCAGGTAAATTGGTGATTGCCCCCAAGGCTGTATTTCTCGCATGGGGTCCAGAGAGTCCGGGCGTGGTGTCCTGGCCCTGGAGCCAGCTCTAGGACTGCACGGCGGCCTTGCCTCTGCCCATCATCTGGGAACAGGGCGGTGGGGAGGAGAAGGGAAGCAGGGTCTTGCCCCTTCTGCGTCTTGAGAACACGGGAACACATTGTCCCATTGCCTCGTACCATTCACAGTCTAAGCTTGTCTGCAGTGTTATTTTATAACCTCCCCTGACAATGATGTATTTTATATAAGCAGCACAAAAAGTGGTAATTTAATACCCTATCGAGCAAGATTAAACAATAAGGAGCAGATACAGCTGTAGAAAAGTTACTTTATCCAGGAAACATTTATCTACTGCAGTTGGAAATGAATCATGGCTTCCTCCTCAGCGGCTCCTGATGAGCCTTTGAAATTCTGTCCTGTTCGCCACTGTTAGTTATAAGCTACACCTTTCCTTCTATGATGTTAGTTACAAGCTCTACCTTTCCTTCTATGATGTTTATTTCTTGCCTGTTCACCGCTGTTACAGTTACAAGCTGTACCTTTCCTTCTGCGATGTGTATTTCTTGCCTCTTCACCACTGTTAGTTACAAGCTATACCTTTTCTTCTGTGATGTATATTTCTTGAAGGCATGGACTAAATCCTAATTCCACGGTATTGGATGCACATACTCAAGAGATACTTGTTTGAATGAATGGATTAATGGAAAATAGAAGTGGTGACTTCACTTTTAATTCATTATGTCAAACTTTGTTTACACGGAAACTTTTATGGTCCTTTGGATAAACAGGGCCTCTGTGCAGGGTTGTTAGAGATTGTGAGAGTGCCGCAAATGGCTCTGTGGCTCTAGGCTCACAAAGGGCTTGAGGGACTTGGTGGCGGCACCTGTGTTGAAAACTGAGTTCTGCAAATCCATTCGAGTGACCTGCCAGCACACAAAGTCCTGCTTCCCAGTTGATTTCTGCACAGAGGCTTCTCCTGAATGCCCCAGGTAAACGTGGGTTTAGCCAGCACTGATGGGCTTCCACAGCAAGGATGAGAGAGAAGAGGGGCAGGATCAGGATCTTCCTGGGCCCCAGTGCCCGTGTGGGGACGCTGCCTGGCCTGGCTCTTCTGGGGGAGGTCAGGGAAATGATGGCATGGAGGGACTGTTGGCACGAGCTGCTTGCTCAAACATAGATCCCAGGTCTGTGTGGGAGGCAAAATAGAAATTTATGTGGCTATCATCAGTAACATAGCAAATATGGGCTTCTTCCCTAGGGTGGCTGACCCTCTTGCCCATCTGCTGAGCAAAGGCCAGGCCCGGCCTTCTGGGCCTCCACAGTGAGCTTTTCCCAAGCTCTGTCCCCTCCGTGGAGATGGCTGGAGCCAGGGCAGACATGGGGTGTTTGCTACTTTTTTTTTTTTTTTCTTTTTCGAGACGGAGTCTTGCTCTGTTGCCCAGGCTGGAGTGCAGTGGTGTGATCTCGGCTCAGTGCAAGCTCCGCCTCCAGGTCATGCCATTCTCCTGCCTCAACCTCTCGAGTAGCTGGGACCACAGGTGTCCACCATCACAACAGGCTAGTTTTTTGCATTTTTAGTTGAGACAGGGCTTCACCGTGTTAGCCAGGATGGTCTCCATCTCCTGACCTCGTGATCCACCCGCCTCGGCCTCCCAAAGTGCTGGGATTACAGGCGTGAGTCACCGCACCCGGCCAGGTATTTGTCAGTTTTTGAAAGCTACATTTAAAGAATGAAATGGACGGAACAGAATTACTTCCTTTTGAATATTTAATACTTAGTCTACCAGAACACTTAAATATAGTTAATGTATTCAAATAATAAGAAAGAACTTTCCCTCTGTTTCCAAAGCAAAAGTATAAACAACCTTTTACTTGGCAGGGATTTCACTATGTTTCTGAAAAGCCAGCAAGCACTTTTCCTGAAATAGACCCGTCTCTTCCTCTGCATAGACCCTATGAACATTTTAGCTACATTTCTGCTGTATCTTAATGTGATAGATGATAGAAAATTCCTTGCTACTGGAACTTCACGATGCTTTCCTTTTAAACATCAAATAGAACGTATGGATAGTAAATCTCAGACTAGTTGCGATTATCAGTCTTGATAGAGCTCCCACCAAGAGCCTCTGTCAGTTACAACAGAGTGTGTCTCCCCAGCAACCCGGCTTAGATTGCAGACCGAGCCAGGCTCACCCAGGATTCAGTGCAACGTCTTTCAAAGCTGTAGTCACTGCTCTTGGAGGAGACTTGAGAAGTCCTCCCTTTGATGCCTGTGCATGGCTGTTCTCAGATCACAGCAGCTGCAGCAGCATCTCAGAGGATGCCAGCAGGGGTGTCCTGGGTATTGACACCACGGTAGGGGCCTGCAGTGTCTGAATGAAATGGGCCGTGAAAGTGAGCACCCTAGAGGAGTCCACAGCCACGTTTCAAAGGTGCAGTGGCCCGAGGTGAACCCCAGAGCACTGAGGAGCCTGGAGTTGACCTGTCACGACTTCATTGAGAGAGCTGACTGAATTCCGTACCTGTGCGGGCAAAATATGGCTGTTTGCGCTTGGCCCCTTCTCAGTCCAGGGCTAGGGAGGTTGTCTGCACAGCTAGTGGGAGCTTAACTTTGTGCACACTCGGGGTTGGGTCCCACTCCTTTCTGTGAGCCCAGGGAAGATAGACATGCCGAGCTCTCCTGGAAGAGGGCCCTGACGAGTGGAAGCTGAGCTTCAAGATGGTCGGCCTTGTGGTGTGCGTGGCGGGATCAGAGTCGGGTGCATGCTGAGTGGGGGCCCGGCTGCTGCTGTCGCTATTGGGCTCAGCAGACGCTGAGGGGGACGTGGCTCCTGTTGTACTTGGTGTTTTTCTCCTCACAGGAGTGGGTTTCCCTGCGGTGAAGGTGTCGGTGCTGTGACAGGCAGCCTGGCAGGAGGAAGGCGCTCGTGGGGTTGTGCCCCGATGTCCCCTTCCTCTTGAGGAGCAGGAAGGGGGTTTGGGATCCTGCTTCCGGCTGCGCTCCCTTGCTAGGTTCTTGGCCTCCGGGGCCGGGAGAAGCTGAGTGCAGGCCTGAAGCCTGGACCCCTTCCATAGCCTCCGTGGCGCTTGTGGTGCTATGCGGGACGTGGCCCTTGGAACTCCAAGCCCTACCCTGGCATGCCCGCCCATTGGGGCGTCTCGGGCACCTGCTGTGTGCTAGGCTCCGTGGTGGGGTGGGCGGTAGCAAGGGCTGTGGGGTAGAGGCGACACGGTACGCGGATGATGATGAGAAGCATCAGGGAGGCAGTGAGAGCAGAGCTGCGACCTGCAAGGAGGGGACTGGCTGTGGGTGCTGGGGCTCAGGGAGCAGCCTCTACCCAGAGTCACAGCGGCCAGCGAGGGCAGAGCAGGGGACCGAGGACCAGGGAAGCCGTGTGTATGGTTCGCATCAGGTGTGCAGGTCTGCCGGGCTGTGAGGCCCTTCTCAGTCCTGGCTGGGCCTGGGGTCCCAGAGGGAACGGAGGGTCCTCGCATCTCCCTCCTCTTGCTTCCCTGATGCTTCCTGGTCAAGGGATGTGCGTTCTCAGGCTGTACTCGGTGCTTAGGTGACAAGAACGTCTTAGAGCAACGGACTGTGTACTCCAAAGGATGCTGTGCATGAATTGAGACACAGTTTACTTGTGGGGTTTAAATTTCCTGGGTGTTGGAGGCAGTTACGGGGAGACAAGGTCTAAAAAAGCCCTTGGGGATGAGGAAGGCAATAATGAAAAAGATTACTTTATACACACTTAGTTGATTTAATTTGTAGGTGAATTTCGCATTTTGGGAACTACTAAAGCTACTGTTTGTGGGGATTCCTTGATGAGCTTGTTTTCTGTCAAGTAGAAAGTAAAGTGGATCGGTTTTGCTTTTAATTCTGACTGACTAGAATCTACTTCCTTTTTCACCCCATTCACGTTAGGGTGGGGATTGGACTAGAAGAGCTGTAGGATCTCTTTATTTCTGATCTTAAATGAATTTTTTCTTTGCTCACTGTTTTTGTTGTTGTTGTTGTTTTTGGTGAGCTACTGTTTTTTCCTTCAATACACTGTTCTACGGGTTGGGAAATGTGCTCAATTTGTACCGTGCTTTAAATGTACACAGTGGTTCTAAATTGCTACTTTTCGTTAAAGTTAGATATAACATCTTAATTAAAATGTCATCTATAAATCAGGCACAGTCTGAGGCCTGGAGACCCCTCTTGTCACTTCCTTCCCGCCGTGTCTCCTTCCCTGGCCACGTTGCCCCTGGCCACATCTCCTCCCCACACCACGCCGTGTCATCCCCCCACCATGTCACCTCTGGTCACATCACCTCCCTCCCCCACATCACCTGTGGCCTCACTGCCTGCTTCCCTCCCTCCTTGGTGGCCTCCATGGCTCCTGCTGTCTGCCCTCCTGAGAGTCTGTTCGAGGCTCCTTCCCCGTTTTCTGCTCCTAAGTGGGTCTTGGGGCCTGGATGTTTCACAGGATGCAAGTTTCTTCCCTTCCAGCCGCGGGTCTCTGAGCGCCAAGTCCAGAGAGTGCACTAAACTCTCCTTACCCACCTGGGGGCCCCGAGCCCTGACCGCCGACCACCAGGGCTTTTCTGCAGGGTGTGGGGCAGACTCATGCGTGAATTGGACTCAAAAGGTGCTTCCAGGAATCCTTGTTTTAAGAGCACTGGGGCAGAGATGTGGAGAGGGGACCTCCGGGTTTGCTCAGAATTTGGCCCTGATCACAGCCAATGAGGCAACATAAGCTCCTCCTAAATGAAGCATTCCATAGACTGATTTTACACATGACAGTTGTGATGGCTGGGAAAGGCTTCACACAATGAGTGAGTTTGAGCTGCATTGGAAGGAAGAACAGGTCTCTGCAGGTGGAAATGAAAGATAAGGGTGACCCAAGTCATCAGCTGTAGCGGGGGGGTGGGGTGGTGCGGACTCCCCATGGATGGTGGGCATCGCTGTAATTCAGGAGAAGGCAGGGGTGCGAAGCAACAGCACAGCAGCATTAAAATTCCCCTGCAGAGAGGGGACTGAGATATTATCACATGTATACAACTGAGAGATGATTTGAGGATGATTTCTGGGAGCCTATGGGAAGATCACGTGCTCATCATCAGTTCTCGGGATCTCTTTATGAAGTGAAAACAGTCATGCCTCTGCCTATCTTGTGAGCTGTTAAGATCAAATCGGATAATCTTCAGCGAGCCTTGTAAATGCTAAAGGTTATGACAGACTGTTCCAGCACCCTTGTCTCTACCCTCCTTTCCTCCTCGGTAACGTGAACCCTGCTGGGTACCTCACTATCTGCCTGGCTTCCTCCTCCATAACGTGAGCCCTGAGTACTTGCTGGGTACCTCGCTGCCTGCCGTACAGCTGGCTGTAGCCTTGTCAAACGCACTTGGCTGGCACATAAGCAGAAGTGCTCGCCGGGCCTTGGGAGGGCTTTCTGACATGTGGGTGCCTGCTTTTCCCTGTTAGGCTGGAGCTGCAGGAGCCCTCCTAGACCAGACAGAGGACCAAGGCTGTGGCCTCGGGGTGGGGGTTGGGGGAGCTCCCTGGGTTTATTGTGTGGGTGAGAGCAAACTTCAGTCCCGCTGCGGCATCGGGATTCAGGGTTCCTTCTGGAATGTTCTGAGTGAGAAACAGGAAGTGTGCACAGGTGCGTCTTTTGCGGAATTTACGGTTATCTTGAGAGAGCACTGGTGCCTCTGAGCTATGAACCTGCAGAACCACTTCTTCCACTAACGGCCGCCTTTATAGAAAGAATGACTTACAAACGATGCCACTTCAGATGGAGGTATTTGCAGGTGTGGCCTGAAAAATGAACAAAATGACTTTCATCTCAAGGAAAGTACCTTACATTATTCCCAAGGATAGACATTTGAGCTTTCCAATGAGTATTAAAATATAAAAATCTTGTGTCCACCACTTTCTCATGTGACCAATGGTGATATTGATGTGTTTTTGTTTGTTTGTTTTTTGATATAGAACGAAATGTGGAAGTTGCTCATAATTCTGAACCAGTGTTTTCTAACCAATGTGTGATTACAAAATCGTGTGCTGGTAAAAGTCATTCAAGTGCAGGACGGACCAGTTGACTCAGAAGGAATTGGGGCAGAAAGGCACGTCGACCAGAGCGCAGACTGCGTTGCAGACAGCCTGTGCGGAAGTGCCACTTGTTACATTTGGCAGCAGAGAATACCTAAAATGATCTGAAAACACAATGAAAATACTGCTTCCTACTTGTATATCAGCATGGGGTCGGACTTCCTTCATAAACTTTAGCCACGGCTCTGCAGCCCACTGAATGCAGATGCAGGCATGAGAACCCTGCTGTCTGAGGTGCAGAGATGTTAGGTGTTTTCACAGCAGCACAAACTGTTGCCACGCTGCTACTTATTTGGGAAAATGGTTTCTTCTTGAAGACTGTGTTAAGATGTAATGACTTTATCGTTGTAAAATAAACTAAATTGTTACCTTTTTTTTTTTTTTTTGAGACAGATTCTTACTCTGCCACCCAGACTGGAGTGCAGTGGTGTGACCTCATCTCACTTCAACCTCTGCCTCCTGAGTTCAAGCGGTTCTCCTGCCTCAGCCTCCCTAGTAGCTGGTACTACAGGTGTTCAGCACCATGCCAGGCTAATTTTTGTATTTTAGTAGAGACGGGGTTTCACCATGTTGGCCAGGCCGGTCTCGAACTCCTGACCTCAAATGATCCGCCTGCCTCTGCCTCCCAAAGTGCTGGGATTACAGGCATGAGCAGCCTGGGATCAAGGTGCAGGTAGGGTTGGATCCTCTGGGGCCTTACTCCATGCTGTGTAGACGGCGTCCTCTCTGTGTCCTCACAGGTTTCTCTTATGTGCGTGCAGCACTGAGGACTGTGTCTAAATTCTCTCAAAAGAATACCAGTCATACTGGATCAGGGCCTACTCTTAAGATCTTAGGTGACCTAAATTTCCAAGTTAAAGGCCCTGTATCTAAATACAGTGACATTTTGAGTTTCCGGGGTTGTGACTTTAACATGGGAATCTTGAGAGGGGGGATAGTTCAGCCCATGACACCTTTAGGGAAGAATCGTGGTGAAACTGCTACGTTGGATCAGGCAATGTTTCCTTGGCTGAGACGTTTAAAGCTATAACAAGCAACTGAAGGGAAAAAGACGGTATCAAAATTAAAAATGTTCATTTCAGAGGATACTATTAAAGTAAAAAGACAACCCACAGAACAGGATAGATTATCACGATAAGGACCTGATATCATGAATATATTTAAAAGCTCTTAGTAAAAATCCAATTTAAAAATGGACAAAGGATTTGAATAGACATTCTCCAAAGAAAGACATATAAATGCCTTAAAAAGCACATGAGATGTTTAGCAGAATTCATCATCTTAGAAATGGAAATCAAAACCACCGTGAAATACCACTTCACAACCACCGGAATGGGTAAAACCCCAGTATTGGACAGTGACATGGTGGTGAATTTGGGAAAAGTGAAATCTTGATATATTGCTAGTGGGAGGGGAAGTAAAATGGTACAGTTGATTTGGAAAAGTCTGGCAGTTCCTCAGAAAAGTTGAGCATGAAATCACCGTACAACCCAGCAATTTCACTCCTAGGCATATGCCCAAAAAAATTGAAAATATTTTGCAAGAATCTTCATAGCAGCATTATTCGTAGTAGTAGAAACAGTCCAGGTATCTGTCAACAGGTCACTCACTGTGAGATTCCACTCACCTTGGACGTGAAAGATGTCAGCACCGAAGGTCACGCACTGTACGATTCTCCTCACAACAGGTGTCCAGAATGGGCAAATCCAGAGAAACGGAAGTCGGCTGGCGATTGCCAGGTGCTGGCGGAAGGAAGGAGCAGGTGCTGACTCTTAATGGGTTCAAGGTTTCTTTGGCCCGTGGTGAAAAAGTCCCAGAATTACATACTAGTGGTTGATGTACAGCTTTGAGAATATGCTAAAAAGACTGAATTGTATCCTTTAATATTGGGGCTTTTATGGTTTGTAAATTCCTTTCAATTTCAAAAGGAACTCAAGAACTTCTTTGGTGTTGATATTTGGATTGTGAAAGAGACAGTATCCAAAACAAGTTACTATGTAACTCACGTCCCCAGAGTTAAACTTCATTTTCTGAGGATCTTAAAGGAAGTGTTTGAGCCTAGGAGACACAACGATCCTATACTAGATGTTACACCCCATCTTACTGATTTCTATCTCACATAACCATATTCAGGGAAAACCGACATGTAAACGTGAGCTGAATGCTATGCAGAGGCACATTCCTCTTACCCGGATGATCTTTAGTGGTGAAGTAAGAGATGAGGTCATAGCAACGTTAGTTTAGCTAGTTTAATTGCCATGGCAACAGGAATTTGGCACATCTGATGAGTTAGATGTCCCTGCACAGCTCCTAACGAGGTTGCCCATTTCTGTGTGGTGTCTGTGTATATTCTTGCTGTGGAAAAAAGTGATAGCACCTGCACAAACACTTGCCCGGAAACGCGCACGAAGCTGGTGAAGGCAGAGGACAGGCGAGAGGGAAGCATGGCTCAGCCCTGGCAAAGACGACCGTTATTCCGAACGCAGTCAGGTGGAGAGTCTTGCTGCTGGTGTCTGGGAAATGTGTTGTGTTTGCTTCTATCTGAACAGCTGGACCTGAGCGTGTCTGTGCTTCAACATTTAATCTGTACAGTATCCTCGGCAGGGTGTGTAGCTCTGTGGCAGAGGACACCCCGGCCACAGTGGATGTCAGCGGCGGTGGCTGGACTCAGGGTCCGTGAATGTTGCGTGATCGAACGTGTTTGGTTCATTCTCAGCTCCTGCCCAGGTGCCTCCCGAGCTTCGGGTGCTGTGGCTCCCCAAACCCTTCCCATCTGTGTGTATGTAGCATGACCACCACCTTCCTACCATGTGTTTGTCCTACCACGGCTGCCGTGTCTAACGGACACTTTGCTTTCCAGCTACTTTCCTATAATCAAAACCCTTGAACGACTTTGCCTGCGTTTCAGAGATGACAGGGTATTAGTTTTTCATGATTACTCTGAGGATTTCCAAAAGCAAATGAAACTTACGGGATGTAAGATATCAGAAGTGACAGTAATTATAGATGGCTTTTCTCAGTTAGTCTTTTGATTGTGGTAAAATTACATAGCACTCTATTTTTAAGTGTATGGTTTGGTGGCATTAAGTGTGTTCACACTGTCATGCCGCGGTCACCGCCATCCATCTCCAGAACTTCCTGGTCTCCCCACGCTTGAAACTCGATCTACCAAACACTAGCTCTCTTTCCGCCCCAGCTCTGGTAAGCACTACAGATTGCGTACAAAATAGGCTTTTTCCGTAAGAGAAGGGGCAAGGAAAAGAGCTCTAAAGACTGTCTTGAGATTTGAGGAAGTGTTTTAGGTTTTGCTGTCTGGTTCCCAGTGTAAAGGAACTATTGAAGACATGGGAAGGCGAAGGTCTGTGACCTCAGGAAGTGCTGGACTGGGCAGCTTTCCTGCTGTGACGGGGGCACTTGTCCTCAAACCTGCCTGAGATAATCGCATGAGGATGGTGCTGCCTTGTGACAGCTCTGAACTTGGTCTCCTTGAACGTTGTCAAGTACATAAGCTTTGGAGGTTACCGTCTAGTGTCTGCGGGAGACCTAGAATTTGAACATTGTTGACTTTAGAACACACTCATTTGTATAACACTCTACCTGTTCTCATCAATGTGTTCTTTTTTTTGCCTTAATATTCTGTGTTGCGGTAGCAGTAGTTGCAGCGGACGCTACTTCTGGTTCATGGTCATTGCCAAACACAAGCTTCTGGAAACCGTGTGAAAAATGAAGGGGAAAGTGCTTTTCTGCAAAGGCCTTTTTTGAATATCTTGTTTTTTCTAGAATATCTGTTGTGGTGTAAAACGTTTTCATATTTAGGGGTTTGTAACGTGTTTTACACTAGTTAGCTTTGAAACCTCATGTTTTTGCATGTCATGGGGCTGCTTTGTCCTGTTATTCTATGATATAGCTGGTTTGCAAAACTATTGGTTATTTCACTTTAAAAACCAAAGCAGCTTACAGATTGAGTGTGATTCCTGTAAGAACTTACCTGTAAAATTGATTTGTGTTCAATAAGCTTACCGAAATGACTAGATCAGTGGACAAAAAGATAAGAACATGTCAAGTCTCTGGGCCATGAAGGACTTCCAAATAATACACATGATGCACAGTAATTTCTTAACAAAAGATTAGATTTAGTACATAGCTATTTAAAACCTCCACATTTTCTATTATAGCCATTCCACAGTGCCCATGGGGGTGGGCTGCAGGACTGCCTATGGCATCCGAGGTCTGTGGGTGTTGAGGTCCCTGCCCTAAAATGGCATGGTGTTTGCATATGACATACGCACATCCTCCTGCAGACAGTCATGTCAGGGTTGCTCGTAACAGCTATGCCATGGACATGCCATGGGAGTAGTTGTTTAATGAATAATAAATTCTGAATGCTTAGTACAAACACATTAAAAAATATTCTTGATC